CCGCAATGTAAACAAACATTTAGTAAACAGGCAAGAAATCATATATTTTTATAGTTTTTATATCTTGGACTTAGCTTGGACTTAGCTTTGACTTAGCTTGGACTTAGCTTTGACTTAGCTTGGACTTACTAAGTCACTTATAAGTCAAAGCTAAGTCCAACTTAGACTTAGCTGACTTAGCCTGTGACTTAGCTAAGTCACACCCAAGTACTTATAAGTACTATAGGCGTAGCTAAGTGAAGCCTAAGTCGAAGCCAAACCTTATAGAGGTTAGCAGACTTACAACCTAGGTTATAACTAGGTTAGGGATACTTATAACCTAGGTTATAAGTCAAAGCTAGCCAAGGGGCGGGCAAGTATCTATCATGTAGTGTATCGCGCCTACCATGCCGTTACAATTTGGCATGTAACCTTGTACCAGGCCAACTGGTGCTGGACCGCCAAAGACTATTTGCGCCAGCACTGTGCCCTTACAGTGAAAACACCAGCCTGTAGCTTAATTGCAGCTGCTTCTGCTTACTTAGCTTTGCGCTGCTAAATCTGAGCCTACCAGGTTGGTTTCCTCCGCTTCGCTGTCGTTTGGCCCCCAGCTGCAGCAGTACTGTTTGGCTCTGCAGCACGTAGTTTCGCTCTTGTCCGTGCTTACTGCTGTGCTGGCTGTTGCTGTTCCCGCTGTTCTTGCGGCCGCTGTTCCTGTCGCTGTCGCGGTTGTTTCTGTTGTTGTTGTTGTTGTTGTTGCTGTTGCTTCTGTTGCTGTTGCTGTTGCTGTTGCTGGATGCGGCTGCTGCTGTTGCTGCTGCTGGTGGTGCTGCTGCGGCGGTTCTGCTGCTCGTTGTCGTTGTCGTTGTCGTTGTCGTTGTCGTTGTCGTTGTCGTTGTCGAGTAGTAGTAGTAGTAGTAGTAGTAGTAGTAGTAGTAGTCGTAGTAGTAGTAGTAGTAGTAGTAGCAGTAGCAGTAGTAGTAGTAGTAGTTGTTGTTGTTGTTGGTGGTGGTGGTGTTGTTGTAGTTGTTGTTGTCGTCGATTTTCGCATGTTCTTTGTTGATCGTTGTTGGTCGTCGTTGTTGGTCGTCGTCGTTGTTGTGGTTGTTGTTGTTATTGTTGTTGTTGTGGTCGTTGTTGCTATTGTTCGTGCTGGTCGTGGTGGTGGTGGTGGTGGTGGTGGTGAAGGTGGTGGTGATAGTGGTGGTAGTGGTTGTGGCTTTTGGTGGTTCGTGTTTGTTCGTGTCTTTACAACAATTCTTTCGCGTTGTCCCGCGACAACACAAGACTCCCACCATTTCGCACGGGATCACAGCACATCCGACACGGGAACCGAAAACACCGGACGCGAAAACCACAAACACCGGAGACCTAAACGCACCGAACGCGGGAACCGAAAACACCGGACGCGGGAACCGAAAACATCCGTGCAATTTTCCCTCTTCAACGCAAGGCCGGTACCGAAAACACCATCACAGGAACTGAAAACACCCGCGGGCACTGAAAAAACCGAGCCGGGCACCGAAAACACCGCCGCGCGGGAACCAAAAACCCACTTGGGAACCAAAAACACCGCGGAATCGAAAACACCAACGCGGGAAGAAAAAACACCGCGGGAACCAAAAACACTAATCCGGGAACCAAAAACCCGGAGCCCCCTCCACAGATACGTGGTGCCATGCACAGACGCACGATGATTCCGAGTGAGTATTCTACACATGGAGTGCTTGGGTACTCACCTCATCACACTCCGAATGCAGGTGCGGCACGAGAGCCTCCCGCAGTGGTGGTATGTAGGCGCGGTCAGAGACAGGCATTGCCGGCTTAAAAATTTAAAAGGTTGATTGGTATCAAAAAGTGTCCCGAAACCATAGAGTTCCTTTGGAATTGTTTTTACTTATGTCATGCTTTGTTCAGTCTGAACAACTGTTTGAAGGATTGCACCAAGATCATACAGTTTTTAAAGGCCCTTGCTTCCACCAGCTGTCCATCACCAGTGGTAGTTCACATGTTTTCTCTGAAGGGGGGAACGTGTAGACACTGACCATTAGTGACCAAAAATTCTTTAAACGCGTTTTAAAATACTTTTTGGAAATCCATCGAATAGACCCCAAACTTGGGGACTTTCTGGAAATGGACACAATATGACGCAATGCCAGGCTTTTGTGAGGGGTCCCTAGGTGATAAATTCATTAAATGGTTTTTTATGTGATTCTATTCCAGTGCCATGTATGGGCTGGGGAGCGTCCTGGTACCTCTCCTTTCCGAAGATCCGCCGCGGTTGGATGTGTGCCAGGCAGCGCGATTGAGTTCCGCACCAACAAGGGGAAACTGTTCCGGCATGTGGCCCACTTTGGCAGTGGAGAGGACCTGTGGTCAAAGACCGTTCTTGATGATATATCGCCCGGGGCGGCGTGGAGTTGTCAATTTCACGGGTTTCACATGTTGGACATTGCACACTGCACACTTTTGACATTATGGGGTGGACCGTACCGGTGGACCCAAATGAATTAAGTAAGAAAGGCTTCCAAAGCAAGGAACCGTGGTCTATGAGGGAGGCTAAACTCATATGAAGGTGAACCCAAAAAGTACCGATGGAGCTACTTGAGCTACTTCCCTCTCTTTGTGCCCAGATGCTCAAGAGGAGCTAGCGTCCATTGATAGAGCCAAAAGTTGAACGGAGCTTTCCCCCCCAAAAGGGCGCTGGACAATTCGCGAGTCACCCACATCGTTCTGAAAGACTTGCGTGGTAGACTCGACAAGAAAAAGCTGAATAAAAATTTGACTCAGGCACACAACTTCCCTTGCCGCGGCCCATCTTAGATTCACACGGGCTCAAGATTCTTTGTGCCAACACCTTTAGATCCCGTGTGCGGCCCTTTTCTGTCAGATGGTGATACTGATGGACTCAGTCGAACTTGTGGGAAGATTTTGTTTGCAGGACACCAGATGGTGATCCAATCTTTCAAATCTTGTTGATTGGAACTTTTGTTTTGCACACCAGTGCAAAAACTCTTGCACCAGCTTCCAAGACCATGCAGCATCCACCTGCAACTTCGGTTGTCAGGTGCCGCTTCCGGGTCTCCAAACACATACATTGCAGCAACATCACCACCTTCACATGGGAGCAGGAACAAAACGCACCAAAACCCTTCAGTATTCCATTCTTGTTCATTATGGTAGGCTACACAAACTCGACAGTGAGAGGGCTCTCGACGGGTTTGTCCACATGCAACGACTCATATCCTCGGATCTTCATGAAGCCCTGTTCTATGGCCCTACTGTTTGTTCGTATTATCTATTCAAAAACGGTAGGGAAGAACAGTAGGAAACCCATTTTCATTCGTATTATCTATGGCCTTCCTTCAAAAACCTGATGTGACGATGTGAAGCTTGAAGCTGACACACAGATGTAGCGTTCAAACGACGACGCGACGCCTCAGTTAACGGAGTTCCATGGACCAGCAGTTCCGAGTTGGGTGCTATCCATGGGAAGTCTGCTTGCGTAATGGAAGTCTGCTTTGGATCTGGGAAGTGCTATCCGTTCGAGTTATCCATGGAAGTCTGTTTTGGTAATTCGCGGCTGCATCTGGGCAGCCGCGCGCACACAAGCAGGACGAGGACATGGTGACCTTCCGCGCCCGGCGGGGAGCCTCTTTTTTCAGCGGGAAAAATCTTTTGGAAAACCCGGGCAAACATACCATGGTCAAATAGGTGGCACTAAAACGCTATAGGCGATACGGTGAATGATCAAATTTATATAAGTGCCGTCATATGTTTGCACTCAGGAAGAATGGTTTCAATCTCATGAACCCAACACCACGACCTTCAGTTTACGAGGTGTCGGAACGCCAAGGTCCGGTGGTAATCGCCCAGGTGGATTCTTCCTCAAAGACCTACATAATGCACACAATGTAGCCCGTTGATCAATAACAAAAACCCTTTCCAAAATGGCTTTACTTCTTCAATATATGTATTCTTTTAAGTAAGCAACAGTATGTATGTGTATACACACAACATTACACAACCCTCTTTTTCAAAGATACGATTGAATTGTATGATGCCTACATTCGTTCGTGTCTCCAATCACCCTCTATGTGGATCCATAGGATTCGGTTGGATGGAGGAGCCATGGAGCCGGTGCCTCCGAGCACTGCCCATAGCGTAGAAGTAGAACCTAGAAGTTTCTGGTGACGGGTCCTTTTTCCCTTTTCTTTGGACTTACCTATGGCCAAAAAAGCTTAAGAGGGTTTGCGCCTCTTAACCACGGGAAAAGGGTCCAAAATGGATCTGGTCGTTCTATGTCGTGACCGAATGCCACTGGAGTTGGTCGTTACACTGGTCGCCGCAAAATGTGACCGAAATACCGCAACAACTGCATGTGTCAAACGCAGCACACGGGCAAGGGAAAACCAGACCTGGCAAGGGTCACCAGCGTTGCGACATAGACATGTGGAGTTCATGTGGAGTTAATGTGGTTTGTTTCTACCAACCTAGGGCTCCAAGTATCTTCTGAGAAGGTGTTTGGGGTGAGTTTGGAGGGTCCAAATCTGAGGAGGTACTTGGAGGTGTAGGGCCATGAATGATCAGGTTCTTTGCCATTTGGATTGTTGGGACATTCTAATCATCAGACAGCCCAGAAGAGAATGATGCAGAAGTGCCCAGTCTTGTTTGAAAGGATCACACCCATATCAGCATCAAATGGTTGAACCAGCTAGCTTCCCATTTACCCTTCCCAGGCCATCCATGGGGACTGGCCTATCTACCGATCAGTTGCGGGGTGGTTGATTTCATGGTCAATGTAACATCTTCCAGGACCTTCCCAGTGACCTTTCTGGAGTCCCCTAAGTGACCTTTTACAAGCGAAACCAGTCGACCTGAAACCAGGCTGTCTCAAGTTCCGTCACTGGGAAGATCCAGGTTCCAGTCCCATGGAGTGTCTGCTCATCAGTCATAGGACACCTCTAAAAGCCGTCGGATTTGTACTCAGACGTCGTCCTGCAGCCTGGCCCGGCCCCATCATCGTCCATGGGGGGGCCCTGGTAATGTGATACTCCCAAGGCATAGTACCATCCAAACCCACGTAAAATAATAAATAAATCGTTTGACACCGGCGGGTTGGGGTCTTCTTTTTGCAGCCACCGCACTTTCAGCGTTCCTTTCGGCCCACCTATGGGTCCGAACTGTCCACGCACGCAGTCCTGGGAAGTGCATCACGCGCTTACACTTCCATGATGGAGAGCTGAAAGGTGGGGTAGCCCAAAAGAAATAAGTCTCCAGGGTGCTCAAGCGGAAGAGTCTCCATGAGTCACGGAACAACAAAGAGCGGTTCTCGCTTCGGCAGTTTTCGGCGAGTAAGCCTTTAAGTTGCGTTGGGTTGATTGTAATGAAAACATGTGCCCCTACTGGATTGGGCGAATGTGGCACTCGAGGATTGGCCTACTTTGACTCCCTTTTGCACCCCAACATGGTTCGTGGACAAGCAAGGTTGGTTATTAGCGGTCACCCAGACCATCGATGGGACTGGAAGAGTTAGACTGAGACATGGATGGGTAATGTTCATAAGGCAAATGTATGTAACATTATGTAACTATGCGCCGTACATGGGTGGATCCAGCCTCATCGCCTTTCAAAGTGCAAGACTCTAAAGGAAGTGCAGGCTACATGAGGTAGATGGGTATCCTACGGCTCCAACTACCTCCTGAGAAGGTGGCTGGGGTGGGTTTGGGGGGTCTAACCACCGAACCTGAGGATATGTGTATGACTTTTCTAGTCTGTTCGTTCACTGCAGCTTGTACAATCTGGTTCGTGAGGATTCATCATTCATCCTGGTGGGTTGGTCATCTACTCCTTGGGACGGATTCAAAGACAATAGAATCTATTCAGATTGTTGGTGTTGAGTCTTGACACAGACCTTTCTCTTTCTACTTCAGGATGGTTTCCTTGATGAGACAAGTTACCCTCCAACTCACTAACGAACTGGAAAGTGGCCTGGGATTTGGGAGGACCCTTTTTCACTATCAACAGCCAGGTGGTTGTTGGTACTTCCATGTGCTTGTCGGAGTGTCATGTTATCAGAATCGCTCAGTGAATTGCAAAAAGCAGAAACGCCGTGCTTGCTCCGCGCGATTGGACGCACGCATCGCGCTCGCGGAGTGTGCCACCCGCAAGGCATCGTGGAGGAAGACTGTCACGTCCCAGAGGGCACGGAGCTCGCGCCTTGTTCAAATTTTTGGCGAAGCAAAGACGACGGACGTCGGGCTCGGGCAAGACGACCAGAATTGGATCGACGAACGGATCTGGAATTCGTTCGTGGAGAAGAACACATCTATTCCTGTCCCATGGAACGGGGGCTGATGAAGTTGGAGCTTCATGTGCCAGTCGACCCGCGTGTGAGTGTGAGTGTGAGCGTGAGAGTGAGAGAGTGAGCGAGTGAGCGAGTGAGAGTGTCCATTTCACTCCTTTTTCATCCCTTTTCCTTCTTTTGAGTGGTGGCCCCTGGCCAGCTTTCGGTAAGGGTATTTTCCCAGACCATCCGTGGAACTGGCCTATTTACCTCTCAGTTGCACCGGGTGGGGGCGGCATTCCATTCCCTTGGATGGTCTGTGAATGTTCAACCACTCCAACTGCTTGAAATCAAAGTAGAGACCTACCACGGATGTGAAAAAAACTCGTCAGCTCGTCCCTCGCCGACCGCTTCAGCGGTTCCGAAGTATTGAAAAAATGCCCAGACCAGACGAATGGGACTCCTACTTAGGGGTGGTTGAAAAGGGGTGAATGTATATTATGTATAGGATTGTTTAGGTAAATATGTAATTACGCAATATATATGGTGTGTTTGGGATGAGTTTGACACTTGAAATGTTCAAGACTTAAGACATCTTAAGCCTTCTTGGGTTCCTTGTTGTGTTTTCTTCTTGGGTTCCTTCTTGTTTTTTGAGAATCTTCAGACACAAGAACATCAGACAAACAAACCTCACAACCAACTAGACTGTCCAGGCTCTTTGCCAGGACAAACTTTGCCTCGTGCTGCCACGCGGAGCCACGCGGTACCCATCGATGCTTGTTGATCGGACGCTCCTGGAAAGCTGCTCCATGGGAGTGTCACTGTGTCAGTGCGGGATTTCTGGTCGGCGTCACTCAGGAGATGTTCATGACCTACTGGACCGATCCCGAGGTGCAGCGTGTTGGTGTTCTCGGTCGCGCAGGGTGGTGGGTGACAAGTCGCCACGGTGACGCCACTCGATCGACGGTATGGATGTTTCTGTCCCTCTAGGTGCTCCTGGCCCATCCTCAGCCCCAACCACCTTCTCAGCAGGTAGTTGGAACCGTTTTGATCTACTTTGGCCAAGAGGTATTGCTAAGCAATATATGTCTTCCATGGTGTTTCGTCAGACACTTGAGGGGCTTCCACTATAGGCAGTGGCGTCATCAACGTCGATCGATCCACTCGACTAGTGACTCGGATCGATCCTGTGGGACCGGAAAAGGAGGACCGATGGGAGCGTGGTCAGTGATGATCGAATCCATCTGACAGAAGCTCTACTACACCGTTCCTCGAGACCAGCTTTGGAAGGGAACCGTTTTGGAAGGTTAATGGTCCCAAACCAGCACTAGCAAACCAACCATGTCAGGCACACATTGGAATGATTTGGAGTGTGTGTGTGTGTGTGCGTGTTTCTTTGTTTTAACAAATCTGAAGGTGTTTTTAGCAACCTACCCCTTCAAGCATCTGACAACTAGAGGTCGTGAAGCTTGAAAGCGCTTGAAACTCTTCCATGTTTGCCTGCTGTGCAGGGCAGTGCGCGGGAGAGCAGGGAGGTCAAGTGCCCCAAGGGCCACATCATGCGCAAGGCGGCCTGCAAGCGCTCGAGGATGGGGTGTTGGCATATCCTTTGCCTTTAATGGTCCCTACCCTCCCGGTGAACATGCAACCTACAATGTCCTATATAATTAATACAAATTCATATTGACCTCAATCCATCTCAATCCTATTGTATATGTATATATTTTATATATATTTTTTTGTTTCATATGTAGATATATTATGCATATCGCGCGCTCTCTCTTTTGAAAAAGAAGGCACCAACCACTTTCATGTGACTCCACTCAAACTGCTTGCAGATTTTCGAGGTGGCCGGGCACTACCGAATCCCAGGAGGGTCCCCCCTTTCAGAAAGGGATGCCCAAGTTGACTGGACTTGGAACCGAAAGGTCAAAACCTCACCGACAGTGAATTGGAGTCCAAACCCATTGAATTGGATTCCAAAGTTCGGGTTGGGTGGTTTCTTGAGCCGACAGTCACTGATGCGGCTGATGCGGACGTTTCCAGGAGGTGAACAGCGATCAGTGTCCGGTTTTTCCGGACGTTTCCGATGTTTCGACCAGTTATCCAGTTTTTGCTTATACCGAGCACTTCCAATGGGTGCCCAATGGAGACCTGTAAGTAAGGTAGGGTAGTCTATTGGACACCCATTGGATGACCCTGGTAGGTAAATGTTTGTGTTCCTTACTATGGGTAAATCCGTGGAAGACGTTTTATTGTTTTCCAGGTTCCTGGGCAGCAAATCCAAGTTATGATGAATGACATGCGAATAGCGTTGGAAACACCTTAAGCCTTAACCAAGGCCCATTGCGCCAGCCGTGACTTGTTCGGAGCGTTTCTCCGCAGGTGTGTGGATCGAGAAGACCCGAAAACCATCGACTCGTTGTTTCATGCGTTGTTTCACACGGTCGTTGAGGAATCAAGTTCCACCTCCCAACAAGACCCGGACCATCAATGTGTGGCCCTATTGACCTACAGTGGGTTGAAAGGGGGGTCTGTAGTCTGTATAGGCAACATTCCATTCCCATGGATCGTCTGGAAGGCTAACTTTGGAACCACTAGTTACCAGCTCTGGTGGTAACTGGATGCGCTGGGGTTGAGGTTGCATTGTTGGATCCACCTAAGAAGGTGTTATTCAGGCCCAAGCAGTCCACTGGACTGGAAGATATGCGGATCGATCCCCAGGTCAACCACCCCAATGTAATAGGCCCATGGATGCTGTGTGGTGTGGGAATGGACCTTTTTCACGCACGATGCAGGACTGGTCGAGAGTCCAAGCCTCAAAAAACATGTGGGAGGGGCGAGTGGGAGGGGTCATACATGTGGCTGATGGCGAGTCCTAAACCATTCATGGGACATTTACCAAAGGAACCAACAATTTGGCCTGGGCTAGTGACACCCTGCACAACTAGACTTATATATACACTGCATGAATCCATGTCCTTCACTCGTCCATGGATCTTTCTTGCGAAAAGGATTAATTGCTGCCCTCAGAACAATTATGAGTCCCGCTGTTTCCGAGCGAAACTATATACGAATTATTTTGTTTTTTCCCCACCTGTCAGGTGAGGGTCGTTACATTTTATGTCAGCTGCCTCGCGTCTCCCCTCCTCTCCTCTCCTCTCGTCTCGTCTCGTCTCTTCTCGTCTCGTCTCGTCTCGTCCGCCAACTCCGGACGGCAGTGTTCCCCGCCGGAACTCACCCGCCAGCTTCCGACTGCTTGGCGGTGTTTGAGCCGAGTAACAGCTAGGAGTAGGAATTGGAAGCGGCTGTGGACTGCCAACTTACCAAACAACATGTTCAACTTCCGAATGCGTTTGCTTCAACTGCCCCGATCGGGGGTCGGTAAGTTACCACTTCTAAGCTTTGGTTGTGGGGAAATTACCACAAGTTCTGAGCTACAACCTGCTCAAATCTTGCAAATTTCAATCACTTGTTTTTTGGTGTCCGTTTTTAAATAGGTACTCGGGATTATCTATCTTCAAACAACCTTGCAAAACACAGCATTTCGCAACTCTGATAAGGGCCTCCCCCAAGCTAAAGCTTAGGATTATTCCTCCAGATTTCTTACGGTTTGTTCGAGCCTCCACCGGCACCTTGGATGCGGGCGGATTTTTCATAGCTTTGAGGTTTTTTGGTAGAGCATAGGTTTAAGTAACATTTGATATGTTCAACTTATATTTTTCAATCGTGCATTGAATGGTTTTTATTCAAAGAATTCCAGACCAAGGACTTCAGAAAAATTAAGAACAACTTCATTCACTCCAGAAAGCGCAGTAAACCACCCTGTGTATTCCCTCTTAACATCGGCAAGTTGAGGTCCGGCGGAGAACACTGCCGTCAGGAGCTGGCGGTTGAGGTCCAGCGGGGAACGTTGCCGTCGGGAGCCTGGCGTTGATGTCCGGCGGGGAATACCGTCGGGAGCTGAGGTCCGGCGGGGAACACTGCCATCGGGAGCTGGCGGTTGAGGTACACTGGCGGTTGAGGTCCGGCAGGGAACACCATGCACAAGGTGCTGATGGGAAGCAAATCAAAAATGGCGCGCGCTCTCGAGGTGGTACCCGGGAAGCATGGAACAAGGGCAGCCACAACACACAACCGCAAAGACACATCCACAGCACACATTCACAGCACAAAACCACAGCACACAACGACGGCAGACAACCACAACGCACAACCACAAACACATAACCATAACACACAAACACACACAAACATGTCAGACAATATGGCAAGTAGAATTTTAGAGTATATACAATATAGAATGTGACAATGGTTTCTGTGTGTCTTGTGCACCTTTTCTTCCTTTGCCTTTCTTGGACCAGACACCTGACAGGCGGCACGCCGCTGTGTTGCAAGAATGTCAGCTTCATCTGACAAGCAGCAGAATGTGCAAGAAAACTTGCAAAAACATGTTTCAATACATGCCAGAAAATTTGTCAGATTGAAATGTCATGGTGGGGGCCACTCGAAGTGAAGTATGTTTTTTGCAAGGCCGAGGTACCATGAATGTCTTTGAGAGTATGCGATGAAACACAGTGGGGAAGACCCACAATTCCGCTGTGAGTGATCCATATTGTAGCCGTGTAGCGAATCATCGCGAATCACACAATAACCAACAGTGTTCCATCCAAAACCAATCGGCCAAACGGACAAAACGTTAAAGATAGTGTAAGACTGTTTAAGACTAGGGCAAACTCCGGGTAGATCAATTTTGCCACTCAGGTAGGTCCATGTTTTGTCGAACTATGCATGGAATCCTGTGGGAGTGGCATAGTTTCATGGACGTGTCCATCCCCAATCCCCAGCACTACCTAGAAAGGTTGCCTTGGTGGATTTTGTGGGTTCTTTAGTCAAGGCCTCACTCAATCATGATATATATTCACACTTGCATGTAGCTTGCGGGTGCAAGCTTTATGTTCACTGAAGTTCACAAAATGTCCCGGACACTTTTCCGGCCATTCCGGGCCACTTGGCGGGGCTGCTCACCTCGTGCACCGAGAAGGAGATGGTCCAGCTCTTTGACCAGTTCACTGCCTACCCTCTGACCACACCGGTGGTCACTCGCATCATCGAGCAGTACATCCCCCTGCGGGCCCTGGCTATGCAGGAGAAGGTTTGGACACAGAAGTATCAGAAGGCCTCAGACAAATCCGGCTTGACTGAGCACCGAGGCCTCCACCGACCTGCTGGTGCGGTTCCCTTCCACTCCATGTGCGGCAAATGCATGTCACCTTGGCCGGAGAATGCAACCAGATGCTGGATTTGCAAACATGACCAAGCCATCGAGTACCAGCGGCCTACGTCCATTATGGAGGTCGGCGATCAGACCTGGACTTTGCTCTACGAGGCGGACAGGCCCTGAGGCGACGGGAATGGACCCAGAAGCGGAGAGGCACTTCAAACTGTCACACTCCATTGATGGGAGCCAGTTCGCCCAGGCCCCGGCGGCCACATGCACCGAGGAAGAGCGGACCTTTGCGGATGAGGTCCCATCAGTCTGCCGGGTCCACATCCGGCAAAAGAGATCATGTCCTCCCAATATGAAGATGACGCCACGGCGGCATCGGAGGCCCATCGCAAACGGCTTGAGGAGCAGCAGCCGGCTCAGTCCTTTCAGATCTTCCATCCAGAGGCGGCCAAGGCCCTTCGCATTCAGTCCGAGGCCCTTCAGGGGCTCTCAGCCGCTGACCTCAAGGCGGAGCACGCCCAAGCGGAGGAGGCCGAGCGCGAGGAGAAGGCGGACCATATGGCTCAGTTGCAAGCAACGGTCCTGGCGCCCATTCAGGAGGGAATGCAGGCGGTCCCCTCCAGCGAGGTGCGGAACTCTGGCGCTGACCAGCCTTGAAGAAACGGATGCTGGAGGAGACTTCTGGCCGCACTGCGCCGGCGCCTCCACTGGACGAAGATCCCGCTCCCACCAGAGGCCAAACCAACCATTCTTTTGCTCTATGCCGGCAAGGATGATGCGGGCTCCCTGGACTCTTACATCCACTCCACGTGTCCAGACCTCTCGCCTTTGATTTGGGCGGTTGACATCCGACGTGACAAGGGGCCCCTTGGCCAAGATATGCTACAGCAGCCCCTATGGAACCATCTGTGCTCCCTGGCTGCTGCGGGTCTCCTCCTTCATTGGGGGCGGCCCCAACTGTCGCACTTGGAGCATCCTCACATGTTCCCCAAGCCTAACCCCCCCAGGCCAGTGAGGGGGCGCAGTGAGCAGCATGTGTGGGGACTCCCCTCCAACACAGCGGAGGAACAGACCGACACGGACAATGACAGCATGCTGGTGCTCCGCCAGATGTAGCTTACCTCACTGGCATACCAAGGACTTTCGCAGTGCCCACCGAGAGTGGGATACTCCTTCCTGGAACACCCCCGCGACCCCATGGAGGTCAGTGCCAGTTCCCAAGCACACAAGTGCTCCTCGTTGTGGGTGACCCGGGCTTACATCAAATGGGCCAACCCAGTTGCACCACCATCGCATTAAGTTTGACCAGTGCAGATTAGGCCAGATGGTTGTCAAGGCAACCACCCTGTCAACTGATCTCCCGCTGCACCACTGGCAGGACCTTCGGTGTAACCACTCTGGGCACCAACCCCTTGCCAGACTGACTCCACAGCCGCCGGGCTAAAAAACGGATATCATGTCCACTTGAGGTCAGGCAGGTTACCCAACCCCCCCCCACCGAGTTCTAATGCCTACCTAATTAGGGTAACACAGGGAAATGGTACTCGACACACTTGTGTGTCGGTGCGTTTCCCTTTGTTGTCCCTGGGGGACCTCCAGTCCAGTGACCTCAGCCGGTACCCCGACCAGATGATGACAGGCTTGGCTCAGGCCATCGCCAGGGTCCTTCAGATCCCACCCAAGCCCACCCCCCAGACTACCACGCGCCCGGCCCAGCGCCCTCCCTCCAAGAGGTCATGAGAGGAGGGCCCTCGTGGCACGAATCCATCCCGGGCACTTAAAGCAGCCAAGGCCATTGCAGACCTCACACAGGGCAGTACCGCCGCCAGGGCTTCCAATCCCCCTTCCACGGTAGAGGATACATGGCATACCAGCACGGTATGGTCAGACTGCCCCAAATTTGACCCCATCTCCGAGGACCTTTCTATGCATGACCCACTGATGCGCCTTCAGGTGGCATTCAAGACCAGACCACTCCGCGACGGGGGTGGTAAACCCTCATGGGGAAGGACGGCCCCCTGGGCCAGGCTTCCGCCTTGGCCAGACTTGGGGCTAAGATCCTCGCCCTTACCACACCTTTCACTGACCAAGTCATTTGGTCGATCACATGCGGATCTAAACACCACCCGTTCCCAGACCCGGTGCTGGAGGACATCAGACAGATCCTCCATCCAGGACACCAGCACACCATGCCAGATGGACAGCCATTCTACTTGGAGCTGATCTCGCAGCTTGCGCACACAGCAGGGGACCCAGACTGGCAGCGCCCTCAGACCCTTGCCACAGGCGTTCCCCTGCGGGTCTCGATTCCCCCCTCCCCTCCCTGGAGTGTGGCCACTCAAGAGCGAACTCGCTGGGGAAGACCCAGTGGAAGCACCCCTGGGCGATCCCAAAGGACATCACAACTACCCCTCAGCGGCAGAGTTCTCCAAAGAGATCCGGGCCACCTTTGAAGAGGAGGTCCCACTGGGCATGACGGTTGGTCCCCTGTCCCCAGGAAGCTGCCGAATTATGTGAGTGTGACCCGACAGAGCTCTGCCCAGGCCCCCTGGCTGGGATCGATGAAGGGGATAAGGTCCGCACCATCTACGATGGATCGGGGGGCCAATGCAAAGATCCAGAAGGAACGGACCACGGCGCCTATACTGTCCTGGATTGTGTTCATGCCATTCACTGGCTTCATGCCGCCAGACATACCGAGGCCGAAGCACGTCCCCGGCCTAGTCCAGGAGCCTTTGGCCCTGAACGGGCGAAGGACTCGGATGACCCAGCCCCAGTCTGGGAATGGCCCTCCGAGGACAGCCAATGGATCCTGCTGAACTAAGGCCCACCGACGAATCAAGGTCCTACCCCAAGACTGGCGTTTTCAAGTAGCACAGCTGGAGGACGAATGGTGGGTCAACAAAGTGGGTACCTACGGCATGGCGAGTGCACAGCTCTACTGGGGCAGGATGGCGGCCACTATCTCTTTCCAAATTGATTGGGGCTTTGTCTTTGTGGATGACTTCTGCTGGCTACTTCGCCTACCCACCGGGCCGCAATTCACCGCGGCTCTTCTGGGCACACTAGTGGCACTGGGCACGCCTCTCAGCTGGAAGAAGACTCACCTGGCAGAGATCAATACATGGCTCCGGTTCATGATTCACCCGGCCCTTCCTCGAGTCCAGATGGCGGCCCCAAAGCACATCAAGGTCATGGAACTCCTGGAGGAACTCGCCAACGGAGCCCCCATGTCAGCAAAAGCCATTGAAAAGGCAATGGGACGGATCCAATGGGCGACAGCATGCTGCCCCCTGACCAAGTCCATGCTCCAGCCCACTCTCCAGCCCTTATGGGCCTGGAAGATGGCGGTCCGGACCATGGGCCACCCGCCCAAGGTTGTCTGCATGCTGGCCTATTTGCTGAAGGAGCTCTTCGCGCACCCCTTTGAACAATACTCACCCTTCTTGCCGAAGTCCCCATGGTGGGGATGCAGTGACGCCAGTGCTTCGAGGACTGGTGAAGCCTATGTTGGGGGCTGGTGCACTGACTCCCCAAACCCCACCAAGGAAACCGTCCTTTGGTTTCACTATGCCATTACAGCGGATGCACACCCTTGGGCATTCAAAGATGGCAACCCACAGAAGCGCATCGCGGCTTTGGAACTCTTGGGTACTTTACTTCTTTGCAAGCACTTGGTGGCCCAACAGGGCCAGCTTCCGGGACGAGTTCGCCTCCCGGTTGGCAGCGACAACTCGGGCAACATCTTCAGCTTGCTCAACCTCTCTGCCAAGAAACCATACACGGCAGCGTTGTTAATGGAGCTGGTTCTTTTCCTTCATTGTGAGGGCTGTAGCATTGCCCCGAACCACGTCCCCAGGGAATACAACACCTGGGCTGACGAACTTACTCACCCTGATTTTGAAAGTTTCTCCTTAGATTGCCGCCCCGGAGATCCTCTTTGTTTTTCCTTTTGCCACAAGACTGTTGGCTTCGACTGGATTTTCTTAGGTACCCACCCAAGATCCCGTGACCGGATCCGGTGGGCAGTCCTCCCGACCCTGTCCCCTGGCACCTTGACAGGTGCTCACTGGGAGGACCAGGGGACACTCGGGTGTTTGGCAGGGATGGGCGAATCCTACTGCCTGACACACCCTTTGTCGTCCTGGCGAAGCCCAGGGTTTTGAAGCTGACCAAACGGTACAGGGTCTGGTGGAGGACCCCAGCATCAATCAAAGCGCATAAGAAAAGCCTGCACGCAGCTTTTGCGCTCTCGGGATCTTTTTGACTTCTGGGTACACATATATATATATATATAATCAATTCAGGTGCATATACGACTAGGGAGACCCCCCAGGCGTTCCGAGCCCCTACGTCCGGTTCGTTTAATCGATCGAAAGCCCGGTCCATGTAAACGGACACCGACATAGCCCATGTTCAATTGACCTATCCCATGTACACAGAATGACTATTGTATTTCATTTACTCAGTGTCTCATGCGGGCTGGAGTAGACTCTTCCAGTCCCATTCGTTTGGTCTGGGAATTCCTTCTCCATCTGAGACGGGCCACATTTGCGACGAGTGTTCGCGGCGCGGCACCGCTGCACGGTGTGGAGGAGGCGCGAGGGATGGGCATATCCCAGACCAGACAACTGGGATGATAGTACTGTCCCATGGATGGGTCAGACAGGGAGGTCAGACAGGGATGGAGTATATGCAATAACAGTATATATCGGTAAAAAAAAATATATATATATATGTTATATGTGAGTAGTGAATAGTGAATGTGCAGTTTTGTTTTTGATAGGTGAACTGTTGCACTGTTCGAAGTAGAAGTTGTCCTGTGCCAATGGTTTGATTTATCAAAAACCTGAAGGTTAGATACATCAAAATCTATTGGAACATAATAGTTATGATCAACAATAAGAATCGGAATAGTGACAACCACCACCAGCACAACCGCAACTGTTTTTCGTTTCAAGACGGTCGTTGTGTTGCTCAAGTGCACGAGCCAATGGATGTTTGGAACGAAGGATAGGGTGGACATGACAGAAAGATATTGGAGATCCTTCAGCGCATGGTTCATGGTTATGTCCAGTCTCCTTAAAGGCCATGGTTATCTCCTTAAAGGTCCTTGTCTCAGCCTGGGGGTGTCCTATTACCTATAACAGTCGGTAAATAAGTACATCACTATTTTAGAGAAAGGCCTGCAACCTAACAATCACCATCCACTGTTACTGAAAATGGGATATACCCTAGGCCCTGGTCATGGTCTTCTCCAAGGTACGTACTGAAGACTGGCCGATGACCTGGGTATACCTGGCTGGTTGATTGAGTTGGTGTTCTGTTTTTGCATGTTCAGCCATCTTTTGGTTTCCATCTAAAGGCCCAATCCAATGGCGGTCTTTTGTGTTTGTTTGTTAGCTTGTTTTTTTTTCAAGGGCTACTTGGCAGTATTTTCAGTATGTGTGGCTTAATTGAACGCTTCCCCTGATTCACAGATACCAGATGTTCAGGTGCATTACTGTTCAAGACTGGTATTACTCATCCCCAGCGCGTTTGACGGGGGCACTTTTGGGATCCAAAAGACACATGCTTTGATTTGATGTACATGTCCTAGGGCTCCTGGCCGCCCCCTCCGTTTCGAAGATGGGCCAGGGCTGGGTGCCAGGGGCATCTGACCACCGAACCTGAGGATATGGTTGGAGTCCTAGGGATGTATATGATATTTGTTGGTTGGTGATATGACTGCGATATGTCATGTGTCACATACACTATACACTTGGATTTGTCATATTGATCACCTCCACCTTCATGGTCCCACTCGTCAACACGTTTTCAATAGTGCCTTTTTGGGTTACCTCTCTTGCCAGGCTGTGACTACGACTTGTGCGAGATGTGCTTCAAACACCACATGGAAGGATGGGCCTCTGAGGTTCAAAGGAGGCACAGGCTGCGCGATGTTTCGCGAAGGATCGAGGGGAGCAAGAGAGTAAGAGATGTGTTTAGAGGGCGAGCGAGGATTGAGAGGGTTTGCAACCCCAGATTCGGATTGAATAGCTACATCCAGACCGGATTTGAGACTGAGTACCGTGAGTACCCTCTAATTTGAGAGAAGGACCGTTGACGTTTAATTTGTGCAAAGTAGCAAAGTATCGGACCATATCCATGGTCCACAATATGACTGCCTTTGCGATGATGCGCGATAGTCCAAAGTTGATTTACACCAGGGTGACTAAAGCCTCATGTTCAATCAACAGCTTGTGTAGTTTCTTTGACTCAAACATGGTTCAATCAGAGGTACCCACAAACCGCCTCTTCCGGTCCAAAGACGGCTCAAACATGGTTCAGAACCCACTGAGAAGCGGACTGTATGGTAAAATAGCATGGTTGGTTTTTAGGGTTGAACATTGTTGACACATACCCAATATATAGCCCTAGAGCGACGATTTGGAAACTTAACTAAACATTTGCATCCCAGGAAACCATCGTCGTCGTTGAGTCGGCGTCCTTTCCAAAAGACCCAACCTGTTTGGCAATACCTGCGGCCTTCACTAGAACCAACAGTAGCTCGATCACCACTCTTAGCTGAACATCCTCCATTCAAAATCACTGTAAAGACTGGGCATCCTCCCTTCAGTGCTGCAGGGATGTGTTTTTTGGGGAAGGCCCAAGGGGACTGGGTACGGGAATTCTTACCAACCACGGAAAAGCTTTAACGACCCTGTGTTTTGTGGGAAGCATAGAGAGGTCGGTTCACCAGATTCCGATTATTGGGTATTTCATCCATACACCCTAAGGCTCCTGTCCCACGATCGAACTCCCTGGGCACCCACCCCTGGCCACCTTCAAAACGGAGGGGGCGGCCAGCAACCCGAACGGGTATGGACTGCTTCAAAAACTACCCGAACCCGCCGGTGTGACCCGCAAAATCCGGCCTTTTCTTGGGCACGGATGTTTGTTTCTCCCTCTTTTCATGTTCGCGTCGGCGTCGGCCGCGTTGTGAGGGGCTTTGCAAGCCGCGACGCCGCAATGAGCTTTGCAAGTCGACATGGAGCCCCTTGGTGAAAACCACAGGGAAAAGGTCAACGAACGGAGACAATGAGACTGGAAAATGAAGAGATCAGATGAGGGTGGTTGTTTCCGTGCAGTGTTGGGATGGTGCGTTTGCTTTGACTTATATGTATGTGTTAACGTTTGCCTGGGGTGAATCCATCTAATTAATAGATGGACTTTTATGAATTTGTTTGGTTGGCAAAACCCGTTCCCACATCAGTGAGCAACATCCGCCTGGATTTGGCAAGGATTACATCCTTTTGTTGCGTCACGGTTTTGTATCTCAAGAAACCTAGACCTAGTCAAGCAGAACCAGCCGGTTCCTCAAGAAATCAAGAGTCTGTTCGAACTGGATTTCAGGTTACAAGTGGGCTTTGAAGGGAGTACTAGCTCGGGACTACTAGCTGTGGCCCCTAGCGGGATGTTGGGCCCCTTCCTGGACGTTGGGCCCTTGCGAACGCATCTTTGCACTCCTTGAAATCACCATGGAAGTGGACACCTACCTGGCTACCTGTTTCGTATATTCAGAACATCGAGGAAAAACTAGCATGGAACCAGGGTCCATGCCATCCACAAGTTCATGATGGTTCCAGGGAGTGTCATATAGATGCCAACGACCAAACAAAAGGCTTCCACAAGTGGCTCCCTTGAGTTCAGGGCGCGTCGGTCCGATAGGTCTAGCAGTCCTTCGGAACCACTCCTGTGTCCACCACGAAGGACGTCGTGGTTTGGGATATCAAGGAGGAGGTGGTGCCGTATACGTACTTGTAGCGCAAACCGTAAGTACGCAGGCTTCAACGCTCCAGTGACCAGAGGAACATAGAGGAACATACAGAGGAGGGCGGTATACAATCCGATCTTCCTCGGATCATCATGGAGGTGGAGGTGGAAGGCCTCTTGGATGATCGTTTTCCTCTAGAAGCAGATAGTTATCCACTTCCATGATGATTTCAAGCAGGGAGTGTAGATTCACTGGGCCATTTTGTGAGGTGTTCAACTTCAAACCACATCTAGGGACTCAGAATGGCCCATTTCCCTGTGACCAATTCCCACGGAGCACAAGCCTCTTTTGTGTGCTTGGTATGAACTGGCCAGCCACCAATAGCCTGCTCATGATCAAGCAAAATCATGAGCCAAACATCACACACCCAATAAAACATATGCCGTGCTCATGATCAAGCAGTACCTCCATGTATGGCATCTATACCAACATTGGGGTGGTGCCGGGGGGGGGTCAATGTATATTGGGGTGGTGCCAGGGGGGGTCAATGTATATAGGCATATATTAATGGCAGTCCCGTTCGTCGTGTTTGCTATTCACCAGGCTCCTGTTGGCGGTGCGTTGCTGCTGGGACCCATACGACTGGAGATGGAGGACCGTGATTTTTGCATCGCGAGCCGTGTCGGTGCCATCGCCGTACCTGAGGAACTCTACTGCTTGACGATTAGTCAGTGGTCATATGGACAGTCAGTGGATTGATAGGTCATTTCATGACCCCTCCACTAAAAACTTGATTTGGGGGAGGGTGACAGACGAATTATGGTTTCTCAATTTATTGTTTTTCTCCAACAATTTATCCTCAATGTTTCGACAATCTTAAGTTGGATAAACATACTTGATTGGCATTTTCACCGTGTACCTTGGATCAAGCTATAGTCATGTCTATTCGAGACATAATCAAGAGGTGGTAGAGAGGTCGCACCCCCTTCAATTAATTATCACAGAGGGTCAGGGCAGCGCCTAGGCCTCCTACTTCCTGTCACCCCTCCAAGACCCATACCTACGAGGCGTCGCCGCCCAGGCCTAGGAGGCGCCCAGGAGGCACAACAAAAATGGGGTGACTGGCATCCCCGTGCACTTTCCCAGGCCTATGCTTGCCAACTAATCAATCGATCCCTCCTCCAGAGGCCAACCCCCCTGAATTAATTTGCTATTTGGTCTTGAGTGTGGTGGTTGCTTTCCTGCTTGGTTGCCTCCTACTTCTTTATGCCTCCTACTTCCTGCCCCTATCCAGGAGGTGTCGCCGCCCACAGCTAGGAGGTGCCTAGGCTAGGAGGCGCCTAAACTAGGAGGCCCCCAGGCCTCCTACTTCCTGCCACCCCTCCTAGGCCGGGGAGGTACCATGTTGCCCAAATGTCCCCGTAAAGAAATTATCTACTCACAATAGTCACAGAGTCTTTGACACGTCTCAGGTTGGCGTGGCTGTAGATTGGTGGAAATGAATCGAGGGGTTTGTGAGGTGTCGATGAATGGTTTGGAGGGTAGGGGGGGCCCTAGGCAATATTTATAGAACATTAATTGAGGGTGTACCCCTCCCTCAATTAACTTTAAACATTCAGGTATGTGCCCCCTCAATTTGGTTCTCAATTTATGATGATTTAATGAATTGAGGGGGGCCCCCCAGGGCCCTATCTAACGTAGGGGTCATCTCATTTCAGGTCCTGCTCTAAAAGAGCCGAACTTCAGTCATGTTGGTTAAACACACAGCGTTTCAGTCATGTTGGCCTACGTTATTCCAACTGGATATTGCAGCTGTTGTAGAATTGTGATGCTGCAAAGCGTTGACTACTGTGAGATTGCATTACTGTGCAGATTGCAGTAATATTTCTGTGAACTTGCATTATTATTGTGTACTGGAGATTGCATTACAGTGCACACAGATTACCAAATCGGGACCCCAAATGAGCCACGTTTTTTTTGCAAATGATTAGGTTTATACAAAAAGGGAACTGTTGAGAAGTCGCGGAGGCTGTTCTGCTTGGGGCGTAGGCGTCGTGTAAGCATTTTGCGTAGGTGGGTGTTGAAAGATTTGCGTAGGCAGTCTTGCGTAGGCACCCTTTTCATGAAAGCCTGAATTTTCTTATTCAGACTTCTTTAAAAGTTGTTCAAGGGTCTTGGGGAAAGATAATGAATGAATTGTAACGACATGGCTACAGTGGATGTTTGAAGTTTGTTTGTCGAAGCTATGGGGGCACATTGGTTTTTGAGGTCAAAAGCTTGATCGTGCTTGGTCTGGCACACCGGCTCTTGAGCTACAACTGTGCGCACCCTGTTGGTACCATAATCAATGGACCTATTTTCGCGTAGGCCCCGCGTAGGCGCTCGCGGAAGCAGCGCGTAGGCAAGAAGCTATTGGCTGCTGCTACTGCTTGGCTGCTGCTTTTGCTGCTGCTTGGCTGCTGCTGCTGCTGCTGCTGCCTCTTGTTTTCTGCTTGTTGTGCGCTGTTTATGTGCTGCTGCTTCCACACTGTAATTGGATCGGCTTGATGCAAAATCTATCTGGCCATCGGTAGCAAAGCTGTAAACGCCTTGTAAACAGGAACCTGCTGTGACCCGGTCGCATCGGGCCACTACTTGCGGATTATATAGCTCTTTTCGAGTCACCTGATGTGACTAAAGTTGGTGACAGCACCCTGCGTAGGCATCCCGCGTAGGCACCTAACAAAGAGAACTCAAATAGTGATGTGTAAAGCTTTGATTCACAAAGGCAGTCAGTAGAGGTAATGGATTAGTATAATTCTTACAGAAAACATGGCAATCATCAGTTGTATGACTTTCACTCACCACCAACGACCCATTTGGTAGACTGAATCGCGGTTTCCCAAAAGATGCTCACATTCCCTTCTGATCGGATGAACTTGACACTGGAAGGAATTCCAGCCATCTTCCATCTCAAGACTTTCACGACTCTCCGGAAAACCGAAGACGCCTAAAACAAAGAGAGAGCCCATCGACTTTGGCTGAGCCCATCTCACGCATAATATATTAGTATAGCTATCTGCTCCGGTCTCATGTATTTCTTGACTGGTTCCACGCCATTCGCTTCTTTGCGAAGGGTACTGCTTGAGACCTTCCCAAAGTGATCCCAACCTGTTCGGAGGTGGAGCTTGGCCAAAGTGAACCGGGAAACCGGTCGGAGGACTCCGAACGGTCGCACGAGGGTGAGGCGCCCGGCGAAAACGGCCGGACTCCTCGGAGGTCGTTGAGAGGGCCAGCTCCTCCCAGCCCAAAAAGCAGCGAGTAAGCCAGGACCACCCATGGTTGGATGGCTACCGGGAGCTTCGTGAGGTGCGCTACACGTCGTGGACGTCACGTGTAGGGAGGTTTACCGCGTGGGTCGACTCCACGCGCCCGCCGTCCATGAATGGTTGGACCCGGTGGCGGGACGCCCCGTCCCATCCACTGGACTGGACTATTTACCCCATGAGTTCATGGAACCAGGTTCGCTGCGGGACGGAGCTCCTGGCCTGGCATCGCGACTCGAACGGGGCTCCTCGCATCGCGACTCGAACCGAACAAGCTACCTCATGCGGTCTTAACATGTCTTTCACTCTTCCAGTCCCATGGATGGTCGCTTTGGTTGCTTTGGCTTCATCTCGGCTCAAATGAAGTCCTGGTGATGAGCCGTGGAGTGGACTGTAGACACCTCCATATGTTGTATGTTGATGTGGTATGTTGGTGCCAGTCTACTCAAACTTATGGTCCAGCAGTCACAAGATGGGGTGCTATCCATGGAGGTTAGGGGTGCTCCTGTCACATCCACTCACTGGATGGGACTAAACACCACCCCGTCTTGTGACTGCTGGGTTATGTCATTGGTTTGATGTTCTACTAAAAACACACCCAGACCATCCAGGTCCCAGGTTCTGTGGCTTTTGAGCAGACTTGCTATGTCGGGGCCTGGCGAAAATCGCCCGCTCGAGTCTCGAGCTGCCGAAGACTGGGAGTCACCTGACAGAAGAATTCCTTCCGACTTGAAGAGGGCCACCATGAAGATCGCCCATGGGGTAAATGTATGTAAAAGTGTATGTAAATTGATTCACTTTTGGGATGCTTTGGGATACCATCCCGGACACTCCATCTATGCAAAATATACATATTATAAATATATATTATATTTATCAGTGTATACTACACTTACATTTGAGCAGCATTCTAAATTCACCCCTTCTCTTTTAGTCAGGGACCGGCGAAAAATCAGTGAACATAGTGATTTTAGCTGATGTTTGTAAGGTGTCCGTAAGGCTTGCCGTAAGGATGTGCAGACTTGAACGATGCCGTAAGGCTACCGGAAGCGAAACTTGTCTATTTTGATTCTGTATCCTTTCTTGTTTTGCAACAACATAAATGTGGCCATAGTGGACTTGCATACCTTCGCCGTAAGCAGAACGTAAGAATGGCCATGCATACATGTGTCACCGTAAGCAAAACATAGAAAAAATGTAAGCTTTGCGTAAGGCCTACTGTAAGGTTTGATTTCTAGGCAAGAAAAGACAACACAATTTTGAACACCGCTCATTTGGGGAATTCATGGGTTAATGTAGGCATGGATTGAATAGACTCCATACATGGAGATGTTTTAGGGCATGTTTGAGTGTGTGTGATGGGGAGGAAACACAAACAAACGGAGATGGTCGATGGAAACGAGGTCTCGGTTTGCACCTGGAGCTCGTTCTTCGAGAGTTCCTGCGGCTAAGTGTTATGAATTGATGGTTTCAAGACATGCTTATGAGCAACGGCGTATGGTTTCGTAGCATATACTGTCCAGTTCACCCACAGCTCCAAAGCAACCGCCCTTTCGCCGCCTGGCCTTTTTGGCCTTTGCCGTCCAACGAGCCAGACGCAGAGGATCCAACTGTCCCTTCCACTCCGATTCCAGGGATCCGTGGTTCAGGATCGCTGTCGCAACGAAGATGTATATGGTGTACGTAGGAGGTCCCCCCCAAAAAAGGTATGCAGATGTATTCGGGATACGGAGAGATACGGAGTATGTGAACATATACCCTAGGGCTCCAAGTACTTCAGAAGGTATTTGGACCCCTCAAACCCTCTGAGGAAGTATTTGGAGCCCTAGGGCCCTACGGATATGAACTATTTGCGATTCACATACTCATACATACATCTGTCCAGCGATCCAATGACCAAGCCGAAGCTAAACCTCCCAAATACTACCCAGACCATCCATGTATATAGATATTTGATGATCTTTGTAACTTACAGTGACCTCCTTTTGAACCGCCCTAAAGCTAGTAAATACGCCAGTCCCATCGGTCGTGTTTGGGAAAGACTGGGTCGCCCACTTATGTGCGGGTCACTCCAGAATAGGCTTTTGGGGTGGGCATCAAACCGGTGAAGCTTGGCCTTCACAGGGTGTGATGCGCTATAATTACATGGTGGATGGAGAAACTATGGTGAAGTGTTTGGGAACTATTCATCCCGCAGACTCCAGACCATGTCTGAAATAGTTATTATGTTACATAATAGTATAATGGTTGTATTGGTTACATACAAAGAAGCCCGAAGCCCCATGTTTGACCCATCGGCCACTCGTCCGGTGTGCATACGCGGGATCGGCGTCCGGGGATCCGCTGCACACCGAATGCGCAAGTTGAACCAGCGTCCAGGCGTGTGGCTCCTGGACACGTCGCCTCTCTTCGCTGGTGCAGCAGGTGGGGCACGGGGACCGGGGGGAGGCACTGGCGCCGGCGTAGGGCATCGGCTGAATTCAGTTTTCCACGGGGGGTGTACTGCAACAAGCGCAGGATTCAGCAGTGTGGCATCATGTCCTCATGCCGTGGAGAAGCTTGGTTAATCCATGATGAAGAATCAGACACTATTGGGCACTGACTTATGGCACCCTGACAAAGGCATTCTACTTGGCGGCAAAGGAGACGCCCGAAAACAAGGCAGTGATCGCCCGAAAAACAAAGCAGGTTTGCAGGACGCCCGAATTCTGTCAGCAAAGATGCTGGATGGCAATTTGCATTTGGCTACGGGACTTTCACAATGACTTTCACGGGGGCTTGAGTGTGGCATTCCTCGAGCACTTCGAGCCCACCACCAGCTCTGTCCACTGCACTCCATAGAGTCCGCGTCCGATATCTTCTGTCATCATTTCTGACATTCTACGTGGCATACCTTCTGACATTTTTCTGGCATACTATCTGGCATGTATGTGATGTGGACATATATTCTTGCATCAATGGCGAGCTTGTATTTGGCATCTATTCTGACTCTATTTGGCATCTATCGTTGACAATTGCGGCATTCTATCTGACATATCTTCAGTCCGGCACTTTTACAGGGTCCGGCGCCGGACTCCCAACTCCGGCGTTTTTCTGGGTTTGGTCCGGCAGTTTTTCCAAGTCACTTGAAATGTGGATTCACAAGGCTTTGCATTCTTTGTGGCTTGCATTTCTTTGAAGGTAATGATTTGCTTACAAAGTGTGCTCGTTTGCCTGTTCCGCTGTTTTCTCATTCCACCGGTTTCAGCGTGGTTCACACTGGATCAATCAGATCCATTTAGGTTTAGGTGATCTTTCTAAATGAAATCGGATGAAATTGGTACAGTACGATGCACTGAACAAGTGGGTGTACCTAAGCTGAAAGAACATAGGCAAAGATGTACTCCCACTGTTTCAGGATGTCGGGGCGCTGGGATACAATTAGTTCTAGTTCCGCAGGCTTGCAGAGCCTGCCGGGGAAGTTTTGGGCTGTGGAACATGTGTTGTTCAGAATCTCAATGTTTTGCAGAGAGTTGCTAAAAAATTGCATGTCGTAACTCCGGCGTAATTTCCCGTAACTCCGGCGTATGTTTTTGGACTCAGTCTTGAATTTTGAAAAGTTGTTCAACTAAGAGTTTCGACAGGAACCATGAGTTCTGCTACTTTATTGGCGGGGCCGTCCTGAGGCAAGCTTTAAAAAACCATTTAAAAACCATAAGAATCATGGAGAACCACTTTGTAAAAAAAAACTTTAGAGACACGGTTGCAGAGAAATTGGGGCTCCTTGCCACATACTCCTTGGTTTCTTCTTGGAAGTCTTTGCTTGGGCACAAGTTTGCTTATTATATTTTGTGATGGTTCTGCTCTTAGGCCATTCGGAAGATGGGCGAGGGCAATGGGAACGGGAAGGCTCCAGTGCTGGGTTGTGGAATGAGTGTGTTCCAGAAAAAACTACTCGTGGCGCAAAGGCAGTTTGCCTGTGTATGATCCAACCTTTTATCATCTCTGTTTTTCAGAATCTTGGATCCGGCTGTTTTTTCAGGTCTCCGGCGTTTTTTTCGGAATCCGGCGGAACATTTTGCCGGATTGAGGTCCGGCACTTTGTTCCGCCCAAAGGAGGATCCAGGTATATGCTGACATTCTATTTGGTTTATTTTTGCGCATGTGTTCTGACACTCTATTTTGGCATCTATTGTGGCATTTTTTCTGACATCACAGCTGCTTTGTCTCGTCCTTCGGGTCCGGTGCCGAAAAACAGCGCTCGCAAGGAAGAAAGGAATTGACAGCTGAGACAAATAACAATCCTCACCTGGCAGGTGGAGAACAAAACAGCCACTCTGAACTCGAAAAGACCGAGATTTCTGGCACACAACCAACTTTCCACCTCGTTCCGCAGATCCACAGGCGCGGAACGCAGACACCGGGCCTCGGCTGCCCACCGCGTCTCGGCAAAGCGGGTCGAACGGGGGCGGTGGATGGTTCGGTACCCAGACCACACACGCCCGTCGCCCTTCGATGCGTGGAACATATGTCCGCGTGGATCCGTCCAAATTTGCAGTGGATTGAGAGGCTCGATGGCACAATTACCAAGTTTGAGTTTGGTGGTTTAGTAGTGGATCCCCATCTGTCTACAACATCTTGGGGTCGGTGCCAGTGCCATCGAACCTCTGAAACCACTGTAATGTAGTTTGCCTTTTTCAGCCAGGGTCAAGATGTTCAACAGCTCCATGTAGGTCGGTAAATAGTCCAGTCTTTTGAGCGGTCTGGGGTTCATGAGTGTTGTCGTCCTCTCGGGTATTTTTAGCCTTCAAATAGCATTTAAAAAGTTCGGGTGGCCTGGTGTTGTTATATTCAACGCTTTGCAAATTTAAACAATGGCTCTTCAGCAAAAGAGTAACACCCAATTGATACCCATTTTAAGATCAATGGATTCGGGCCAGCGGGTTCCTTCATCCATGGGTGGCGTGTGCCCTCGTGTGTGCCCTGAGTTCGACCCGCGTGCACCGCGCACCGCGCGGGCACCTGCCGGCTTGGTGGTGGACGTCCGGCGAGGCACGCGCATCAGGCCGGTGAGCGTAGACGTTGGGACGGTCAGAGGTCCAGGATGAGGGAGAGGATCCTAGGACCTTTTCCCCCCACCCACGTTTTGGAAAGATTCTGAGGGTGGCAGGACCTGTTCTTTTTCCGAAGGAGATGGAGTTGGAACGCTGGCCGAATTTCGTTCGTTTCAAAAGAGATGCTATACACAGCGGAAAGTGTATGAAAGTGTATCACGTCCTGAATTTCCATTTGGAGGACATTTGTCAGGTGCCCAAGACCCCAAGGTCACCCTTCCCTTCCCTGCGTCCAGAAAAAGGTGGTAGCCCTGCGTCCATTGAGTGGCTGGGAATGGTTTCAGTTTGTACCAACCACTAATACACCAAAGCTCGAAAATCAACCTGGCAGTGGATTCAATTGAATTATCTTTCCAGGATGTATCGAATTGCAGAGAATGCCGACATGAACAATCATGACCATCGTAACATCGTGTGAAATTTGTGTTTTGCTTGGTGTTTGGTAGAAATCACGTGGCAACAAACATGCAACCAATGTTTTGCAATTTGGAAGAATATTTTGGAGCGGGGTCCTGAAAGATGCAGCATCTCGAGGCCACATTCGGGGCATTGCAAGTGGAGTCAGACAAGACCATGTCGACATGATGACTTTCGATCACCAGTCGTAACCCGGAAAGATGCCATGACATCTTCAAGTCAAGTATAAGTAATCCCTATTTGTTCGCATGCTTGGACACCAGTTTGGACACCTCAGGGACGTTTCGTGTTTTTTTTAATGCACTCACTCCACGACAGACTTCGGTTCTCAGGACCTGCCGGCCTAATGCCTGCCTGTCACAGCTTCGCTCCGCTGGGATGTTGCAACACAACTCTTCCCCCAGGTCCATGAGGGTGGCTGAAATCAATTGGTGCTTCCTGTGAAATTCCCAGTCACGGCCGGGACCGATCCGCTCAGACGACTAGGCTTCCCTCTATGGCACCGACGCGTCCCATCCGGAAGACTGGACGATTGGCCTCAAAAAGGGGGAAAACCACCCAATGGGGCGGTGAATGTTGCAGCAGTTTTCGAGTCTTTGGGTTGGACCAGCAAAGGATTTCTGGACCCACCACCACCTCTGAATGTTTCTGATCCCACCGCAGGGCCTGGGGACCCCCTGAACGCTTGGCGATGTGCGAGAAGGCGGAGGTTTTTTCACGCGCAAGATGAGCGCCACATACGAGTTCACGAGTCACGAGTCATGCCTGGATTGACCGTTCTAAGCGGCACAACGTGAAAAAGAACATGTTGGTTGTGGATGTGCATTGCCGAGTTTGGATTTTGGATCCGAGACCTTTTTACGGGGATGGTTTGGATGATAGCATCAGGTTGGGAAGGTTGCACGGGGACCTGAAAGTCATTTATTTGGAGACTGAGACAGAACAAGGAGTTTCCAGAGAAGGACGCGACCCGAACGGAGCATTTCGGGCTTCGTTCGACCCGAACGGGGCGACCCTGGCCGTATACTACTTAGGACCTATATATATATATATATATATATAGGGAGCGATCGAACGCGACGAACGGAGACAGAAACAACACCGACAGCTCAGGACCGCCCCAAAGCATCGGACATTTTTTGGGGGGGTCGGAGCAGCAGCTTCCGTTGGCGTCAACAGACGACTGCCTAGTTAAAACATCGAGCCGCTCGGTGGAAACAGTCCTTTGGTCTTATGGGAGAGGTTTACAACAATTCAGTCACCAAGACAATTTGGACCTTTGGTCTAGGCTACACTACCGCTAGGCCGCTAGGCTCTTGGTAAGGGGAGGTTGAGGTTAACACATTTTTAGTAGCTTACGTTAATTCTCCAGATGTTTTTGGCCAGGTCAAGATCCGTTTGGTCGTTAGGAATTCAAGAGCTGTCTGATTGAAAACAGAAGACAGTTGAAGTTGATACTTCTTTGCTGTGTTACAACTAGACAGACACCACTAGACACAGACATACACAGACAGACAGAGCTAGCATGAAGCTGATAACGCTCGATAGGATGATCTCCCAACCTCTCATTTCGGAAAGCAGGTTGTGTTCAACCAACCAACAGACCCGAAAAACAACAAGCAACAGCAGGTACAGCAAGGACAAACGACACGTCTTAGATCCTCTTGGTGTTATGACAATAGCAACAACCACAACCAGAAGCAGAACAACGTTACAACAACCTTCAACCCAAATCCATCGAAACAGATCAAAGCCCAGTCTCCGTCTCCTTGACGACTCTCCGTCTCCGCAGGCGGCGGTGGATGCAGGGGAGTTCAATGCCTCCCAGTGGTCCAAGAGCCTTGGATCGACGGCGAATGGCCGCGATGTCGCGCGGTGGATTTTTGTGGAGCGAGACGAGTCCGTGATGACCTGTTTGTTGCTTCAGGTTGTTGATGTTCCTTTTGTTTATGTTTGTCTTATTCCGAGCTGAATCCTGTTTGGACAAAATGTGTTGATAGTTTCCCTGGAGTAAATCCTAGATGTTTGACTGCGGTGGTGACATAAAGCACTGCTGTCATGTGATTGTAGTGTATGATGTGATTGTCGTTAGTATAGTCAGTGGTGGCTTCATGGTAAGAGCTTGTAGGTTTGAGTGGCTTGCTTTCGTTGAAAGAACAGCAAGGACCACCCTGGAAAAGGCAACACTCAAAGCACCAGTGAAGGAAAAAGTCTTGGTCCTACTCAATAGCTATAGCAGCTTAGCAGCTACTCATTCCATTCCAGCTGCTCTATCTCATCCAATCCTTTTCCTCGATCATCGACCTAGGACGTAGAAAGCCATCAAGGAGTTTAAGGTGAATTGATGGTCCAGCCGCGCACACATTTGTACAGCTGTACATGTGTCATCTCCCAAACCGGACCGGGCCTTCGCCGGCCTTCGCCGGCCGCGATCGTCGCGGCGAAGCAAAGGAAGAGCTCCTCATTCAGGGGATTCGTCTCGTGGATCAGGAGGAGCCGTGGGGGTGCCCCCGGTGCACGTCTTGTGGATCCGGTGCACCCATGCAGTGGTGCGAAACCCAGGGAAAGTGGATAAGCTTCAACCCTTTTGGGGACCTGGGTCAAAACTAGAGACCTTGGTTGACCACCAAAAATGAACAGAATACAGGTCAACCTACCAGGGTTTGGGGCTTTAGGTTTTGACTCAAAGCCTTATGAACAGATGGAAAGCGATTATAATCACGGTTGTTTGTTCAAAGGAGACTGAGGGAGCTCTAACCTTCAGGTGGGGGGGATTCTGTACACAAAATGTATCTTCATGTTGGAAGTCTCTTCATTTTGGGGAACAATGACAAGTGCAATTGTAGCAGAAAGGTAAAACATGGTTTATTGGCAGTGGATGTTTATCCTCTTGTGACTGAAATCCAAAAACCACTCAGGTGTTGCTACAAAGGTTGGTTGTCAAGACAACTGTTTATGTTTACCCGCATCATACATCTCAAACAAGACACATACGAACCCGCAGGTTCATAATGATGAGCTTGTTTACATGTGGGTGTACAGGTGTTTGGTCCATGTTCCTTCTTCCAGGCGATCTTTGGGAGGTCTCCCTATTTTGATACACAATCTGTTGACAGTTTCCCCGGACCTTAGACATACCCTGAACCACGCCTTGGGACCTTACAGGGCTCATCTCGTTGAGACTTTTTCAGGGTCCAATCCTCGCTGGAGTTCAACTTCATCAAGAAAAAATAGATTTGGAACAACCCCAGACCGTCCATGGGATTGGAATTGTTGCATACACGGACCCCATGAAGACCACCTCATGTAGGGAACCGTTTCATCAATGGCTGGTTTTGCAAGAGCCTGCGCCGCGCAGCAGGGATCCATTTCATTCGCGCATTTGCAAGAACCAGGCAGCAGGAAGAGATGGTGATTTTCACAGTGGCAGGAAGCTGTGGAAGCATATGAAGAGATGGTGATGATGCCCAGAAAAGGAACGCCCATCAGCCACGGCTGGGTCAGGATGGCCCAAGAACTCAAGCCGACATCTAAATGTGACGCCCAACGTACATGTTCTGGGTTTGGAACAAGACAGCGAGGTTGAAGAGTTCCTCAAGAAGCTTTTCAACTCAGCAGCTTTGTTGGGCTTTGTGGAAGAGCTTCCGGTACAGAACGCCAATAATTACAAGGAAGTCATCAGTGCCTCTGGTTCGAGCTATATAGAAGGTACTGATGTAGATTGAAAAGTAGATCTCCACCAAAAAGGTACTGGACACCTTTTCTATCTATTTGGGGACCACTACTGGGACCACTATATATATATGTATGTAACATGTATCATTATATACCAGGCAAACCGCAAACAAGCAAAAAGAAATCTTTTTGAAAAAAAGATTTCTTTTTGTTTTCGCGGTTGTGAAGGAAGAGGGAAAGAAAAGAAAACCCGGACTAAGAAAAGAAAACCCGGACTCGGACGAGAATCCTGACATGAGTGGATGCGCTGCCATTTTTGTTCAAGCGTGGGCAATGCAGCGCGTGCATGCTTCCGTCATCCTGGCTTGTTTCGCGGGGGAGTGCGCAAGTGCAGCGTTTGACGCAGCCGTCTTGATGCAGCTTGAAGCAGCTGTGTTTGAAGCAGCTATATGTTTGCGCAGCTATGTTTCATGCAGCCGTGCACTATGCAGCCACGCTTGCTCCAGTCTAGGTGCTGCTCTCTTGCCCCGCATGGTTCCAGCAGATGAAGGGGTCTTTGCTGCCTTCGAAGGCCTGCGGGAGGAGTGGGACAACCACCGTCGTTTGCGGGAGCGCGTGCGAAGTCTCGGCCGGCTGGTGGTTGACAAGCCGAAAGAAGGAGAGGCGGAAGAGGCAGGGCAGGTTGTGGCCAAGACGGTGGAGAACATGAAGTACAATGCCCCGGCCTTGAAGCCGATGATGGAGAAGATGCGCGGCCAATTTCATGTCGTTCCTCAAATTGAATCTTTGCAGGCTGAGTTGCAAGCGCTCTACATCTCGGCTGGCCTCAACCCGTCTGGAAAAGTGATCAGTGACCAAGCATGGTCATTGCGGTACTTGTACAGCCTCTTGAAAAAGTACCTGTACAACAAGACGCCTCCTCGAGTGACTTGTCTCAATGCCCCACTCCTCTGCCCAGTACAATTGTTTGCTTCGATCAGTCCGAGGATGCTTGCACTGGTGAACTCTTGAGAGCATGGGGTGTTGACATGGAGCACTGGACGAAGGCCTGGAAGGCTTGCTTGTCTTTTGTTCTCGCCGCTTGCGCGTGGCCCTGTGCAGTTGGAAACCAAGAAGTCTTCGCCCAGAGCCCGCGGCGCAGAGGACTGAGTGTGTGTGTGCGTGTGTGGCGTGATGTTCGGCTTGTATTTTCGAAGCTTCTGGCCACCTGTTTGCAGTTTTCCCTATTTGCCGTTTCTAACATGTTTGCAGCCTTTTTCTGGCGCCATGTCCGCAGCCATTTCTTGATTGCTCTTGTCCTGTAGCTTTTTTTCCGGCCGTAGCCTTTTATTCAAATCCGCAGCCTTTTCCAGAGCTCTTTGCTGCAGCCTCCCGCAGCATCCCGTAGCCTTTTAAATTCTGCCGTCCTTTCACGCTTTCAACCCGTAGCTTTAAAAGCGCGCTGTACGTGTTTTTTCTGCTGCCTTTTCCTTCAGCTTGTTTTGGCAGGCTTGCCCGCAGCCATTTTGCATGCCCGCAGCAAATCTGCAGACCATTTGCAGCTCCGGCGCCCTTTTGCAGCCGTGCGTTGCCCTTTTCACTTGTCCGCAGCCATTTGTACACGCCCACAGCAAATGCCAGTCCTGGGTGTGTGTGCCAGTCCTGGCTGTTCTTCCAGGACTGGGTGTGTGTGTGTGTGCCAGTCCTGGCTTCCGTCCATGGACTGGGTGTGTGTGTGTGTGTGCCAGTCCTGGGTGTGTGCGCCAGTCCTGGCTATTCTTCCAGGACTGGGTGTGTGTGTGTGTGTGCCAGTCCTGGCTGTTCTTCCAGGACTGGGTGTGTGTGCCAGGTGGTTCTTCCAGGACTGGGTGTGTGTGTGTGTGTGCCAGTCCTGGCTTCCATCCATTGGGTGTGTGTGCCAGTCAGACCATTTGCAGCTCTGGCACCAGGCTGTCCATTTGGTCCTTTCCTGCCTCCCTGGCGCCTTGCAGCTGTCCAACTAGTCCTTTCCTGCCTCCCTGGTGCCTCCCAGGCTGTCCCCTTTTGCAGCCGTACATTGCCCTTTTTGCTTGTCCGCAGCCATTTGTGCATGCCCGCAGACCATTTGCAGCTCTGGCGCCCTTTTCATGCTCGCAGCTTTCTATTCCCTTTTCATGGTTGCGCAGCCATTTAACTCGCAGGGTTTCGACAACCATTTCTGCAGCTTAATCGCATCGATATTCCGATGTAACCCGGACAGCAGGCATGTTTAACCCGGAGCCATTTCTGTCGCAGTTTCTTGCTGCAGCCTTTGTTTAGTCTGGACCTTTGCACTGCAAATTGTTTGATTTCTTTTCTGATTGCTTGCTTGCATTTCCCTGTTGAGGAGATGCAGGACGAGAAGGGCGAGAAACCCCCTGCTCCTGCTGCTGCCAGCTGCCCTTCTGCAGAAGCACCTCAGCCCTCCCCACCTGCATCAGAGGATGGTCCGAACGAGCTGAGCATGGTGCGGTTGGCGCTGCGGCGGCAGCACCTCCAAGAAATGCACCTGAGCTGCAGTGGAACTGTATGTTGCAGTTCCCAAAAAGGCGCCCTGTTAGCCCTTGAGGTTGGATTGAAGAGAAAAGAGCAGGAAGAGGAGAAGCTGAAGCAGGCTGAGGCTGCTGCTGCTGCTGCTGCTGCTGCTGCAGCGCTTGAGAACCAGGGTGGAACTGGCACACCAGTTGACAGACTCTGCAGAAGCGCCATATTTGCTGGAGCAACACTTCGCAGATCGGACGCCTCGACAGAGGAAAGCTCAGCAAGGCAATGCGAGAATCTTGCATTGTCAAGACCACGAAGAAGGTGAACAAGAACGGAAAGATTACTTTCAAAGCAACAGATTTCTGAAGCAAACCCAGCCAGTAACTTAGTGCGCTTGTTAACCTGTTGCGTATACAGTTTATGAGTATTTTCTGTCGAACTGTTGCACATCGAGCTTGCAGGTCTTACCCCATTGCATTTGGACTTCGCCTTGTGCGGTGCTTGCCCCACTTTCTTCGGTGCGTTGCCGCTCCTCCACAACCGAAGGTCGAGATGGAGGTCCCGCAGCTGTTTGCGCTGACAGATGTGGCCGACACTTGGCCCGAAGCCGGTCTGCTGGATGCCTGCATGTATTTGAGGGGGTCAAAGCACCTCCGTGTCTCGAGCCGTTGGAAAACTTGCTTTCCAACTGAAATCTGGCAGGAATCTCCGGGTTTCTAAAGGCATTGGTTTTTCGAAATTGGGCACCCGGAGAAAAGAAAGGAAAACCCGGAGGTAAGAAAAGAACACCTTCGAAAAGAAAGCTTTTATTTTATCCTGGTTTGGCCGACGCAGCCCGGAGAAAATGCCGAGGCGGACTCAGGACGAGAATAGGCGGAGATACGACGAGAAAAGGCGGAGATAGGAAGAGAATCTCGGAAGAGAAAGCCCGGAGATAGGAAATGTATTTTGAAAAGTTGTCTTTTGTGCGATGAAAGAAACATGGCGCGCCGAAAGCCATTTTGCTGCCTCAAGTTCTTTACATGGCTGGGAAGTGGCCTAGCCGAGCCTGGAGCTGTAGCGAAATTCTTCGAGGAGCAGCTCAAGTGGTCGACGGTATGGCGCTTCCTTCTGCTGACGTGGAAGCTTTGAAGCTGGGCCTTCGAACGGAAACTGCCGGCTTGGATACGCAGCAGCTCGAAGGCATGCTTGAGGCATGTGCATTTTTGCCATGGGTGTTAGCTAAAAGCCTTTCAAAATGACATATACCTTACACCCTAGACTCCTCGACCCTGAACCGTGGTTGGTTCAGGAGACCGACAAGATGATCTCAGAACACCAGATGCGCGGCGAAGTGGACAGCATTGCCCCGCCCTCAGTTTTCGCAGAGTCTGTCCAATCGTTGGGCGCAACACGGGCCGTAGAAGACTGCAGCATAAATTAAAACCCTTTGCAAACCGAGCCACATGCAGCTTGTAGCAATTGGACGCTGACAGTCTCAGCCCTGTGACCAGAACCTTGCATCTGGGGTCTTGAGGATGCACAGAAACGTTCCGAAAGAAAAAGACGGTGTGACATATAACGCACATCTACCTCCCATATATTCCTTACTTTGGCAATGGAAGGCAGGCATCAGTAACCAGACCTTCACCTGGCCAGGTTTGCTGGGCGAACAACCTTGCAAAAAGCGCCTGCGGCCGGAGCGCGCTGAAGTGATCCCTAGTGCTACGGTGCAAAGTTTGGCTCGCAGCCTCGCCCGTGGAGAAACTTGCACGCAGTGATCCAACCGCCCTGTATACATACTTGTCAATTTTTGTCAAAGGGCAGCAGTATTGCTTCGCACATCGCCCAAGGCACCGGCAGTGCAAGTTGCAGAGCACGCCCAAGCTATCTTTGATGGTGCAGCCAACGGCTTTGCGCGGAAGGACCGCACCTTGCAGCGCTTGGCTCGGGCTGGAGCTGCACATTCTGCCCCTTGGTTACAAATGCGAACATGGGCGCCTGTGTGACTTAATACTTGGTTACTTGGATGGTGAATCCCAGGCGAGAGACGTCTTTGCCGCCTTGAAAGATGCTGCGTTGAAAGTGTCGATGAAAATTTCATATGTGAGCTTGGGCCAGAGAACACCCAATGATTCCGCCAAGTGACTTCGTTTTGGCTTTGACCCAGAGGAACCGGCTGGCCTTACTCCTCCCGGACACAACTCTGGACTCCAGCGCGTGTGTTTTAGAAGAGTATTGGAGGCGCTTCAAGCTCCAATTTGGCGCTGACCATGACGTGTTCTCCCATGTCCCTCCGGAGCACCTCTCGAGCTGCGTTCCAATCAAAATCCATGGCGATGAAGGGCGGAGCCTCTTGGCAACTGCAAGTGTGATATTAACGCATGATTTCTGCGCTTGGACCTGTGTTTTGTGGCCCGATTTTGCGGAGACCAGGCAAGAAGAAGATGCCCATCATGCTGCTGAACTTTCAGCCTATCTTGGGTGCTGGCACAAGCAAGTCAGTATTGCGGAGCAAGCGGGTGCAAGGAGAGAGCATGAAGCTCAACATGCTGGGAAACCCAGAAATGACAAGGTTCCTGTGCCTGGCTGCCCTCAAGGAGACTTATGAAGAGGATGACGCGGCCCTCCCCGATGCCATGAAAATCATTGCGGAAGACCTGCATCGGGCCCTTACGCAAGGCATTGACCTACCAGGTGGCCACAAGCTGCGCTTGGCATGCACTTCCGTCAAAGGAGATTGGCCATTTTTGATAGCTGCCGCCGATCTCAATCGTCATTTCAGGCGTGCCCCATGAGGGTGGACATGGGATTTGCCATTGGTGCCTGGCTGGGCAAAAAAATTATCCTTTGAGTGACTGTGGAGCAAACCCGCGCTGGGCCCGCACAGAAGGCAGCGCGGCGGCTTCTGCACCATGGGATTCTCTGCAGCCTTTTACTGCCTTGCTCCCGGCTCCACATGGCTCACCAGAGAATCTGTACCGCCCCGACATCTGGCATAATTGGCATCTCGGCCACGGCCGGTATTTCTTGTCTTCAGCGTTCATCATAGTCCGCAGCCTTTGGAATGAAGAATCTGTGCACGATGGCTTTGCTGGCATGACGTGTTCGTGGAGAGCCTTTTGCCGCCTCAAGAAAGTCAAGCCTCCTTTGAGCAAACTGACAAAGGAGATCTGTGGCTACACAGCGTTTTTGGATTGGCCTGAGGGAGGTTGGCAGAAGGGTTCAACGACAACTTTGCTGTGCGACGCTTGCTCTTTGATCTCGTATCCATGCATGTTCTTTGTTCCGCGGTTTTGGTTGGTAAGTGCGTCCCGAGTTCAATTGCTGAGGAATTCCTTGAAAGTGCTTTGATGCAGCCTGATCGCGCGGAGCTGGTGCTGCTTGACAGGCGCCTTGCCTTGATATTGCTTGTGGCAAAAAGCATAAACTCTTGCATGCGCAAGCTGTATGGCGCTGGCGCTTGGCTCCGAGATGATGAAGCCGCTGGCATTGCTGCTGATGGGCTGTGTGCCTGCAGAGGCTACAGGGCATTGGCGACAGAATCTCTTGAACGTGGTGAGCCCCGCTTCCCTCTACATTCGAAATTCCACATGCTTGTGCACACCTTCCGTAACATGGAGCTGGATGCAAGGAAGTTGACCTGGCAGGAGTCGCCGATGTGTGACAACTGCCAGATGGATGAGGGCTTTGTGGGGCAACTTGCCCGATACAGCCGACGTGTTTCACCAAAGTCAACCATCCACAGGATGTTGGATGTATACTTGACGTCTCTATGGCGGTTGTGGCGGACTTGACCACAGTGAACCTGGTGGAAAAACATGCACGAGGGCCAGGGTTGCCATGGGAGTGTTTCAACATCCGGTAGGGGTCAGACACCACCTACTAATAGAAAACAGTGAAAAGAAAAGAAAAACCGGACCAAGAAAAGAAAAACCGGACTAAGAAAGGAATACCCGGACTAACCCGGAGAACCCGGAGAAAGAAAACTATTTCCGGAAAAGATTTCTTTTTTTCAAAAAGATTTCTTTTCGTGGTGTTCAGGTTTGACTGGTATCTATAATAACCTGATTCCGATTCCTGCATCGTTCATTCGACTCGTTGGAGCGAGGAGAGTCCTTCCCGCGCTCTGAACCGGTGCGCTGAAGTAAGCCTTCCTCCGGGCCCGTCGAGTCGAGGCTTTCGGTCACAGCGATCGCACCGCCCGGCACGAGGGCAGAGCGGAGGGACCGACCTGGCGCGCTTGGCCGGGCAGAACTGCTCGCCATCCGCAGGTTCGAACTTGGGCGAGTCATCGACAAAGGCAACAAAGATGACGGACACATCTCTGAAGTTGAGGAGTTTGGAGATGACCACCATACAGTTTAACATCTCAGAGGAATATGACCCATGTATTCGCAGGGTGTCATCTCAATCTCACGGAGTCATTCTACTTGTTGTGAACTCTTCAGTGCATGTGTCGGCACTATGGAGTTGAATAAACAACTGTTTGACCAACTCGTGCCTATAGATCCACATACCTTGTGAGAGGGAGATTGGAGATACTTTCATGTAGGTTTGGAATCGATTGGAGGATCCAAGTACCTTCTAAGGAGGTACTTGGATCCATAGGGTAGCTGGGTAGCCCCTTGACTCCTTGACCAATGCATCAACACAAGCCAAACCCCGTTTGCTCGCCTCAACCTCCGCCGCGTTTTTTTCTGGCAAAGAACGCAGAGTCAGGCACCTAACCATATATAACCATAAAGGTCTTGAAGAGGAAACATTATTTAAAGTAACTCAGTACTGTCGATGGAATACATCTTACACCACCTGAAACTGACACCGCCGAAACATGCATACTGTTAGTAGTAGTAGTAGTAGTAGTAGTAGTAGTAGTAGTAGTTGTTGTTGTTGTTGTTGTTGTTGTTGCTGTTGCTGTTGCTGTTGCTG